CATAACATTTCCATAAACTGTAATTATGCTTTGTTTGCGGGAGGTTCCCTAAAAAACCCCCCAACCTTTCTTTGAATTTGGCTGGCTGAAGGCATGAGACCAGCTGCTGTGGTTTAATATATGACTCAGTTCAGAGTGTGAATCCAAACGCCAAGCCTTGATTAAGCAACCCATGACTTAGCAAGATATCCAGCCAAAGTCTCTCATTATAACTCATCAAAAAGATTGTGCCTATGTTCCGTCCCTTGTCAGTCTCGACCCTATGGAACCGCAGGATTCACTTCCAGGGATCCAAGCAGATCTTCCCAGTCATCTTTTCCTATTTCACTACCGACATTCATCCAGCTACTTAACCAATTCAGTTGCATAAATTAATCCATGGGGTTTGCCCAGAAGCAAATCAATCAGATTTTAATCAAGCGTTTGTATCATGTTATCAGTCATGACTGTGTCTTGCTTTACATTACTTTTTAAAAAAACAACATTTCAATACTTTTTAAATACAACTATTGGTCCTGAGAAAGATGTTTTATATTTTAAAGTATGCATAGTACTAACGTACAGGCAGAACCATAGGCGATCACATTGCCTTCCAAAACCCGCGCATTGCGCTGAGACTTGTTTGGACTGCCTTGCAGTACGTTCCTAATGCTCATTCCCACCGCGCTTCTTCTACCCCGCACATGGTGGAAGCCGTTCGCATTGAACCGGAAGCAAAGGTGGCCGTCGGGCCGCCCCGCCACTCTCGGTTTCTTAATTCGGCTTGGTGGCGGCGGTTTAATTTCCTAGTTGCTCAAGATGGCGGCGGCCGTCTTTCCAAGGCGCTGCTGCAACCGCTGGAGAAAGGAGGGGATAACTCCGCTGTTGGTGATGCTGTGGGGAGCTGCCGGCCTGGCGTCCATCCTTACGGTTGCGGCTTCCCTGGAGCCGGAGCCGGAAGCGATGGGGAGCCGCGTGGTGGAGCTGAGCGGGTCCAACTGGAGCCTCCTGCTGCAGGGCCAGTGGATGGTGGAATTGTGAGTCAACCAAGCCGGGTCGGGAAGGGCGCGCGCAAACTTTGGAAAGAGAATGCAGGCAGAAGAGCCTGCCAGCATTTTTTCTCTTAGGCCGCCAGAGGGAGGGTGCACTACAGCCACCATCATCCCCAGCCAGTTTGGCTAACATGTTTGCAGACAGGGCAGCGTAGAGTGCTCCGGCTGCAAGTCCGGATACCTGGCGTGGCGCTAATTTTGGGGCGTTGACTTCGGTCCACAAATGTAGAGAATCCCTTCTAGCGTGATTGGCGTGGTCCTGCGCGCCTAAATCAGATGCAATTCATAAACCTAGTTCATCCGTCTTAATTTTGGGGAGTTGGCTTTTTAGTAATAAAGTAAATGATTAAAGTGATCGGGTTTTTTTTTGTTTCGTTTTTTTTTTTTACAAAGCTTTTATGGTTTAAGTCTTTTCCGATGGGCTTTAATTAAATCCAGTTTTTCCCAATCCAGTGTCTGCTCAATATATTAATAGGTCAAGTTAAAGAATTTCAGGCTTCTGCCATACTGTTTGGTTCAATTGTAGTTTATTCAAAAAACTGGAGTGTCCTTGCAGTAGTTATGCTACATTGCAAGTCATCCCAAAAGTGTTTTTTCAACTTTCTTGTTTTTCTTTGAAGACATTTTGCTTCTCATCCAAGAAGCTTCTTCAGCTCTGAGCTGAAGAAGCTTTTTGGATGAGAAGCGAAATGTCTTCAAAGAAAAACGAAGTCCAATTGCCTCGTGGAAAAGCATATTTGGGATAACTATGACCTGGATGACTGAGAATTTCCATAGACATACAGCTGCATTGCAAGGTGGTATTTGGTCTTTAATGCTAAACAACACCTGCTGCAACATGCTAAAAACCCTGCTAATGAATTGCTGCATATATGTAAAGGGCTGTTCCCAAACAATATTATGGCATAATGTAATGGCCTCTCTCAAAATGTTTGAAGAGAATAACTGAATTTGCGCAACAAACTGAACTCACAAACTAATTTAGTGATTGTCTAGTGTATTGCATGAATATCTACTATCATAGATATTCTTGGGAAGGACATGGTGAAAGAAAAAGAAGATACACAGTTCAGGATAAGGGATTAGCTTTACAGTCCATGAATAGCTGTTATAATGGTGACCAAATGTTGCACATGAAGAATTGCTGTTGTGGCAGCCCCCAATTTAGATTAAATATGTCATACCAGTGTAATTCGGAAACAGCAAAATATAGTATTCTAATACTTCTGTTGCTTTTTTTGTAACTTTTTCTGTGGGATGCTTGAAAAGTGACTGTGCGCATAAAGCATTTCCTTTTTAACCATTAAAGCAGGCATGTTTTATTTCCAGGTTTACAAGGCTGCTTCAAAAGGCAAGTACATACATAGCTATCTACAAGCATGTACGTCCACAGCCGTTCTACTTCCTTGGAAAATACAGAATGGCTGCACATGTATGGTCATGAGATAACAGCCAAGGGCATTTTCCATATTAGATCCATGAACTTGGGCGAGACATAGCTTCTTTTAGAAGCAGGAAAACAAATTGCTTCCTACCCACTCACTCATATACTGAACACTCATTTTGAAAAATAGGTACAGACTATTAAGTAGCAACTGTCAGCCTTTTTTATGTTTGGTACAGTTGTTTTTATTTGTGTACACAAATTATATGCTTTGTCAGATGTGCATATAAAAGAATAGCTCTTATTTTAGATCTATAATATAAAAGACACCCTCCTCAAACAACAGTCAGATTCCGATCAGTGTAACTCACCGGTGATCCATTGCCAAACAAATGAAGAAACCAGGAGATGCTTTGGTTCACAATTTGAATACCATGGATATAAAGCAAAAGAGAAATATCCCTGAAAGAGAAAGTATGTTCACCTCAGCTTAGCGCTTTCTTTCGGGTATGGATGAAATCCTAAGTTGTCCCGCAATGAAGCTTGTTTATGTCCGTTTTTTTTTCTCTTAACACAAATGCATAGACTACTGCAGGGTTTCATTGACCTGGTTCAGGGTATCATATGAATGAGAAATAGATTTGTGAAATGAAATATAGAACTATTGAATGCACTATAATATATCATGAATAGGCGATCTTTTGATGGCTTCTGGCCTTAACATTTTTTGTGGAACTGCAGCGTATTGGAAATGAAGGGGGTTAGGGATTTGAAAATACTGCTAAAATATCATAAAACTAGCTGTCAGAATTAGATTATATACTTTATAATTTAGGAAGTCCTACGTGTTTTAGCAGAAAATTAGCAGTTAAACATCTCCAGGAGGGGTTTGCAAAATGTTCTGTCACAGAATGTTCTGTGAAAGATAGAATACACTAAATGGCTTGTTTTAGGACTGGAACATTGCATGATGTCCTTACTTGATATGCAACAGTATAAAATCCTTACCTAAGAAACACTGCATCGATTGTGAAGCTGGTTCTCCTTCCTGCAAATATATTTCTTGCAGAATAACTGTAAACGTGCATTTTCTGCAGCATACTTTCCCCTTTGGTTGGTTCCTTCTTGGCCAGAATAAATGTTTATGAAGTAATATATTAAGAATGTTTGCTGCCTAGAAAGTTTCTCTTTATTCCTGAAAGATTACAGAAGGTGACTGCAAGAGATTGGCTGGTGTTAAATACTATATTTTTGTAAGAATTTTAAGAGCATTTGCTGTACTAATTAGTAGGATGTGATGCTGTTGAGTTGTTCAGTTTTTTAATTGTGCTTGAGCTTTGCTGTTAAAGAGCATAGCTGTGCTCTTGGGACTACTCATATTGCGCACTGAGTTTTTCAGTCAGCATGCCTAACCCTGCAGACGTCTCCTTTAGACAGAGTATCTTCTTCAAATAGCTATATAAGATCATTGATGAATACTGTGATCATATATACTATTGAATAAATGAATTATAAGATCCAGGATGTACCGCTACATCAAAATGTTTTGAACTTCAAACATCCTATTAGATTTCAAAGCAGCAGTACTAGTCTTGTTAGAAATGTTGTGACCATCCTAAAATACTCCAAGTTTATAAACTGGTCGGATTGGTGTCAGACCACTTTTAGGAAGGTTGAAATAGCTTGTTTCCAATTCAAGACAATTATTTTGAGGTTGAAACATTTTGCATGCCCTACAGGTAATTCTTGACTTAACACCATTCACTTAACAACTGTTGGAAGTCAACATTGAAAAAAGTAAGTTATAACCAATCCTTGCACTTATGACCATCACAGCATCCCCGGGGTCACATGATCCAAAATCAGGTGCTTTGTAAATGGCATGTATTTATGCTGGTTAAAGCATCATAGGATCACAGGATCACCATTCATGATCTTCCTGGGGAGGGAGGGGTGTTCCAAAAAGCAAACTCAGTAGGGGAAGCCAGATTCCTTTAATGGCCACAATGAGCTTAGCAATAAAAGTTTTGATCCCAATAGTGGTTTTAAGTCGAGAACTGCCTGTATATAATTTGGCCTATAGCAGTGTAGGTGCTGGATTAACATATTGTAGAGGTTGGACAAAAGTTTCATTGGTTTTACTTCAGCCACTGCTGTGTCAATGATCTGTGAGATTGAGCCAATTGGATTTTTGACATTGACTGAATGTTGAAAAAAATAGCATTGCTTGGCATCTCTGTTGGGTGAATTTGGAGAATAGAATGATTGTGGGAGTGTAATATTGGCGTTCTCACTGCTTTTTGATGCAGTATTATGGTAGAAAAAGATGAAATCCAGGTAGCATTGCAGAATTCTTAAAATGAAAAACATTAGAAGTTGAAAATATCTTGTAAGTTTGAAACTATTGTTCCAACTTTCTCTGAACTTGAAAGTGTTCTAAGATCATAAAGGATATGTTTTGTGCTCAGATTCCTTAGAAATACGTAGAAAAGTTCTGGTACAGTCAGAACAGTCTGTTTGGAACTCAAAGCAAAAGATTCGGGACAATTTTGAATTCAAAATATTTTGCCCTTTTCTTTTTTCTGTTAACTGTTGTCAAACTTTTTTGATAAATTGGAAACCACCTAAGCAGATAATGAAGTCAGCTCATGCTTCTATCGTACTGTCACTTTCCTTAGCTATGCCCCATGGTGTCCTGTCTGTCAGCAAATGGAATTAGCGTGGGAAACTTTTGCAAGAAATAGCAAGGAACTTGAACTCAGTGTGGGCAAGGTTGATGTCACTCAAGAACCAGGTAAGTAATGAATAATCACTAAGAACAAAAATCAATGTAGGTAATTGCTTTTTTAAAAAATGGGAACAGAATATTAAGTCTTAATGTTATTAGCCCAAATTTAGATTAATTTTCCCCAACCTCTGCTAGATGTCTGATATGATCCCAGATCAGTGCAGTCAGCACCCATGCTCACTGGGGATAATCAGCTTTGTAGGCATATAGTCCAGTGGATCTGGATGATGACATAGTGGCTAAAGCTGCTTTGGAAATTAGGACTATTGTGTAAGACAGTCCTCGACTCCCCGTAATGGAACCCGATCATTATGGTCGCAAGTCATGATGTCATTAAGTGAGGCACCCCACAATATTGCCTCACTTAACAACCCCTATCACTGCTCTCCTGTTAAATGGAGCATGGGATGCTTCAGGTGAGTGAGGTCCAGGGAGGCCTAATGCAGGCCCAGGAACGCCTGGCTCAGGCATCCCAAGGCCTCCCCCATTCCCTGAGGCATCCTATGATCTGCTTAACGGGAGATCAGGGGTGAGGGTCATTAAGTGAGAGTTAACCTTGAGTTCCTGTGGGCTTTTGGCCTGCTTCCCACCCCACTATGTCTCACACCCTCCTCCCCACCTTTTGTCGATACGCAGAGCTCAAGCTCACACTGGGAAAGGAGTGCCAGGCTGCTCTGCCCCTTAGCATTCCTATACTGTGTAGCTCCATCCCAGAAGCAAGCACCATTTTCGGAATGGCCTCGATTTTTTTTTAAAAAAAATCTCTTAAAATGCACTTATAACTTCTTTTGTAATAAGTAGAAGAAGCTCACCCAGTGAAGTCCATAAAAACTTGCTGTTCCAGAGGTTTGTAATGTTAAAAAAAAGAATTTAAAAATCAATTCCAAAGTGATTAAGAAACAAAGAATGGTTGAACTTTTGAGTCCTTAAAGGTTATATTACAACTATGAGTGTAATTGTAATCCGTCGACTTCTAGTCACTCGGCTCACAAGCAGACCTCAAAAATATTGGTTCCTGCCATCTATTCACGAGGAGCAGTTGTGTAGAGTCCATGTGGACTATCTCAAGAGCTCTCCTTTCTCTAGAGTGATTTTGCCAGTTTTGGTCCCATATCTGGCCAAGGATTTCAGCTGTAATGTCCTGTTTCTTCAGGAACATCTTCATCTTCGCCATGGCCTTACTGGAACCTTTTTTAAAAACCATATTAACCCTATTGTAGGGTCTATGCTGATTTATGCATTACCTGTCTCAAAACAATTTTTGAGAGGGAAGAATCACCAGTACCAGTAAAAAAAGTTTTTATTTGGCATGACTTAAGTCAGAAAATGTATTCTTTTTCCAAGATACTTCTGGACTATCTGTGAGCTAAAAGCTTGTGTGCTTGGCCAAAATTTGCTCATGGATATTTTAAAATTGCCCTTGAATATTTCTGAAATGTGCTAAGACAAATTCTTTTCTGCCAGTATTTGGGACTCCTCTCTCTTTCTCTTGTTTTCCTTCAGTGCCTGACCTCTTTAGTTATAATTCACATTTGTATCAGTAGTGGTTAAGGGGATCTAAAAGAGATCAAATGGGTTCTTGTTATTCATGTGAAGCCATGGAAGGTTGTCCACTCTCACAAAATGTGTAGAATATGAAAATGAGCTCTTAATTATAAAGTGTTTGTTAGGTGGTGATTATGTGTAAGAAGCAAGATCATAAGTACTATTTAAAACAAGTATCTGTTCTCCTCAGGTGTAAGTGGCCGTTTCTTAGTCACTACTCTTCCCACTATTTACCAGTAAGTTTGTATTTTAATTACTCTGAAAATAGTTGTTGTTTTACAATTGTAATTCAAAATGTTTCCTTTTGTGTGTGTGGCAGAGTAAAATATATGATGAAGCTAAGGAAAAAAATGCCCATCTATATTGTCCATTGCAATCTGGGAAAGCAGAGGAAACTTCAAAAAAAGTTATCTTGGGAGCCCCAATCTTTTTATTTTGATGAATGGCGTGTTGGGAACATGTTGTAAGCATTGTGGGAAAAAAATAGTTGTTGGAATGTGGGGGCCTTGCCTATTTGTAGAATAATTCTTTTGGTGGATCTAAGCAGTTACAAAATATATTGTGACCAGAATGCTGCTTTTATAACAAAAGTTTATACAAGCCATTTAATACCCAACTGCATTCTAGGAAGTGAAGATGATGCTAGAGATTAGTGTTTTGGAGTATGCCAGCTTCCCATTTTGTAAAAGTTCAGATACTTTTATTTTTTTGCAATTTAAAGAGTCAAATGAATAGAGACACTAATAGGAGATGAGGAAGTTTTCCATAGTTGCCATATTGGACACATGGTGTTTATGGGGAAAAAAGATAGGATTACCCCCAGTAGAAAACAAGATGTTTCAGTTTCAGAAGAAAATTATGATCTAAACAGGGAGTTTCCTGCTGTCCTTCTTAATATGGATAATGTGAGCCTGCTGTGACTGGAAAATAAGGTAGTAATGTGAGGCACTAGCAATTTGTCATAAACAAACCACAATGGAATTCACTGTGCGTTGCTTCAATATCTCTCCCTGCAATCAGGTCCTGTGGGTTTTATTAATCAGATTACTTTGATTAATTAGAAAAAAATGGGCAGCATAGTAAATTAAGGCTGTTCCTGGGTTCATATACTCCAATATCCTTTGGGAAATACTCGTTAGATTTTTGGCCCAGAAGAAACTTGCTATGGTAGCTACCCCAAACAAGTAATTAGATGATTGAAGTGTAATAAGAATAAAAGGAACTTTTTCTTGTTTTCCCCTGAATACATCTCCTTTATTCCTTTCTTCTCTTGCTTATTTTCATCTCCTTTCTCCCCTGCCTTCCAATTCCCCGAGTGGAATAATACCCTTAAGGATGTGGAGAAAAATAATATAAGAAGGATCTGGTTCTCTGTAAAACTTGTTAATTTGCACGATTGCTGCTCTTGTATATTGGAGAGTAACAAGATTTTAGATTCCAATAGCCTAAAACTATATTTTAATCTGTTTTCAGTGCAAAGGATGGAGCTTTTCGCAGATATCGTGGCTCGAGGACTTTGGAGGATCTTGAGAGTTATATCCTGGAGAGGAAATGGGAAAGTGTAGAACCTGTGGCAGGATGGAAGTCTCCCTCATCTCTCATGTAATTATATTGCAAGATCATGTCCCAGATTGGAATTTTATCCTAGGTTAAATGCAGCCTTAGCTGAAAATAGCAATTCCCAGTTGAATATTGTTGGCACTTTTTAACTTTCAGGGTGACTTATTGTGGTAGTCTGTGTTTCATTCAGCTCTACCATCTACTGGTGGAGATTGTCCAGTGCTTTCAGGGTTATAGGAAGGTAATTACTTTGCATTCAGTTTTGAGCTGTAGGTCCATATTTTTAGGGAATAAAAACCACAGAAGGTGATAATTGGTTGTGATGATAACATATGGAATATATGTAAAGTTGTCGCAGTATTTAGAGGGCACCTGTAGAGTACAGCTTAGTGAAGATTGCTATTAGATCTTGTGTGAAGAATATTCATTATAAAGATTTTCTGTATAAATCTGCATGAAACGGTATGATAAAATTTGATAATTTGGTTTTACTAATACATTCTGTAACTATTGTAAAGGTTGGTTAGAGAAACACCACCACTTTCCTTTTATTTCCATAGTTAAATTATTGTGTCTCTTGATCAAGTAACATGAGAAATAATAGAATAGTAGTCCTAGAACAAATGGGAACACACTTTTTCAAACTTTAATTATTTTTTTAGTGATCATGTTTATATTGATTCTTATTAGGATGTATGGAATGGCAGGACTCTTCCATTTATCTGGATGGATCAGAGTAAGTAAGCAATATGTGTCTTACGTAAAGCAGAAAAACTTTATACCTGATCTGTGTTTTTAAAAGGTCTGTCATATTCCCCAATAATCATACAGCTTGTGTTGCTTATACAGTATGGAAAGAATATAGAGATCAATATTAATGCTGATCAAACCTAGCCATGGAAAAAGTTTCTACTTCTAAAACCTTGGTTCAAATTGTGATAAATAATTGAAATTTTGTAAATTTCATGATGGGATGCAAGATTTCAACATGGTTGCATATCAACATTCCATATTCTGCCATATGGGTAACAACTCCAATAAAGATTTATAAACAGTTTTTTACATTAAGTATATAATCCATAAATTTCCATTTAGAAGATGCTAAATAAATTATTGGGAGTCTTAAACATACAGAAGAAAATACAGAGTTGCTGTTTACCTGTATTTATTTAGACAATGGTATTAGTTGTATTCAGAAATAAAAGTTCTAATATTAATACTACTTATAAACCTTGGGAAACCAACAGTTGGAATGTTAAGCGAACAATAAACCAGCACAGCAAGACTCTCAGTTACTCTGAGTAGGCTCACAGTATCTACTGGCTTTATGTATGTATAGATCCTGTGTTTTTATGTAAGTACCTAAGCTTTAAAATCAGAATAATATTCTGTATTGATGAGTGTGAACTGTGTCTTGTGAGAAATTAGAGTAGACATGAAAATATTTTGTTCAATAAATGGAATTAGTTCCATCAACAGTTGTTGGTAACCTAAAACCTGCGGGGCATACCTCATCTGAAAATTAATGTTAAAAAAAAGGGAAAAACATAGTAATCTGTAATAAAAAAAACAACACCTCAAATCTGAGCATAGGTACACAGCCCAGCTGGCACTACCTATTACCCACAGAAGAAATAGCCAATGATAGTTTTATGAAAGATATTGATTTTGTAAATGATTTATGTGAAATTGATTCAAACCTCCTAAAGTAAAAATGAAACAAAACTGTATGCTTCTGTAATTACATTTTAAGAATGTATGAGGATTTGAAGATAAATTGCTCAAATGTCATTCCAAACAATAACTGATAGATAATGGAATGGCAGTTTCAATTCAAGTTATGTTTCTGTTGCAGCAAATCCACAACTATTTTACTGGCACTCTTGGAATTCATATTTGGGTTTCTTATGCCATCTTCATATTAGCCACCCTTCTGATTGGTCTTATCTTGGCTTTGGTAAGCAAACAGTTTTTATACTCTTAAACCAGAATATACAAAAATGGGAATAATGTATTGATAATGACAGCAAATGGTATCATCTCAAGAGTTCATTGTAGATCAAGAAGACATTGGTATTCCTACTGAATTGGGGAATTGTGGAAAAAAATTAATGGTAGATCAAATCTTTCTATGGTGTCAGAGAAAATAGTAATCAAGAACCTCTATTTTTTCCGGTGCTCTTGATCTCAAGAGAATGGTAGACAACTATCTTTCATACTATTGATCAATGTTCTCTTGAGGTTTACTTTTCATCATCTAAGTGATCCTGGTCTGTGCTATCTTGAATTATAATGCTCAAGAGAAATTAGTATCGCATATGTTAATAAATTTTTAAAAAGAAACATTGCTGTCAAAGATGTAATGTTTAATGTTTAATTTTAATTTTATGATGAATTTTGGCACATTAAACTTGGGATATAGCAAAGAGGATAATCTTATATAAACTGAAGGAAACTTTATCTTCCTGATAGCAAGGAATAGATTTATTATAAATTATTTAATCTATTTTTGAAATGTCCTTATGTTCTGAAAGTGAAAAGATGGAGCAGCATGTTTCTATGGTTTAAGTATAAGCAGAAATTGAGGTTTAGATTAACCTATATTGATATCAGGTATGTTTTTGTATTAGTTTTACCTTTTAAATTTGTTTTATTTTGATCATTACAGTATATGTAGCTTCTTTTGTGTTATATAATCACTGGTGTATTTTGTTGTTGTAGTTAGACACCACCAATTAAAACATAAAGCAGAAATATCACTAGAAAAATTATAGTCTAGAACTTCTATATACTGCTAGAGAGAGCAATAGATCAGAACCTGGTTAAGGATTCTGAAACGTCCTGGTTTATCTGATTTAGAAATCTAGAAATTAGAGATTGTTTAAAAAAAAGCATTTAGAGAGGGCTTTGATCTATGGCCTTCTTTAGCATAGCTCATGACCTTCATTGGTAAAAAAATATATGAATATTTTGCATTGAAGTGCAACATAATTACAAACCACTCAAACTTCAGTAATGTTGGGCTATTTGACCAGATTTGAAATTCCCTAGGTTAGTTTTGTACTTTTTTTCTTTCTTTTCTTCAGATACTTATTTTGCTTATGGACTGCTTGTGTCCAGCTAAGTCCAAAGAAGAAAGTTTTGGTAAGTACATATAATGAAGGGTAATGCTAGTGCTTATAATGTTTGCTTGTTTAAACAAATATATAGTTTCCCAGAAAGAACTCGACAGCAAACAGGAAAACAAATATAGTACATTAAAAGAGCCCCTTTAAAACAAACAATAAGCTACACTGAGGTCCTGATAACATTTGCATTCATCTACTAACCACACATTGCCAGGTCCATCAACATCTTGGCCACAGGTAAAGCCAGGTCTTCACTGTTTTCCTGCAAGCCAATTGGGCCAGGGCCATCTATGTCTCCAACAGGAGGCTGTTCCATAAGACAGGCACCATGACAGAGAAGACATGCTTCCAAGACCCCACCCGGCAACAATTTTACTGAGGGGACCTGGAGCATGCCCAGCTTGTCAGTTTAGTAGGAGAGTGGAAACCATTGGGAATAAGCGGTACCACAAGTAATCTGGCCTCATGCAATGTAGGGCTTTAAGGTGACAACCAGTACTTTCAATTGCATCTGGAAGCCTACTAGGAGCCAAGGGCCAAGGCAGCTCATATAGCAGTGGTGTTGCATGGGCACACCAAGATGCACCAACTAGTGCCCATGTTACTACATTCTGGACCACCTGCAGCTTACCAACAAGGGCAACCCCATACAAAGCACTTTGCAATAGTCCAATGCACTCTACGTGGAAGTAGAACACATTTTCAGATAGTATGGAAATATGCCGCTGTGAATAATGGCCTATTTTGAGTATTCCCTTAATTTCAACTCTGATAAATAAACCTTATCACTGGGTTCAGACACCATGCTGAATCGTAATGAATTTGTTTTGGCCTAACTTGTATATATCCAGACATTATAGTCTGTAAGAAGTTCAACACAGAGGTAAGAGGTTTGGGGAAAATGAATCACAAGGGCTAGATCTGAAAGCTGGCACTTTGTAACTTAACAAAATATTCCATTTGTACAAAAAATACTAGCTCCTCTTTCCTCAATTTTTTTACATCAGATTCCGTAGATCCTGATGAGAATAAAATAGAAGATCAACAGCAAATGTTGGAGCTTTCAGCGGGGGACAAAATTCCAGAAAAGGGTTTGTCTGTTGACAATGAAGATGAAGAAGAGGGAGAAGATGAGTCTCAGCCAAATTCCTCAGATGATTCAGCAGTTGAAGGATGTGAGGGAGAAAATGATTTAGAGCCCTTTGAGTCTGACAAGTTAGAGGAGACATCCTTAAGACAACGTAAAAATCAGATGGACCCTGAGCTATAGTGAAAGTAACTGAGTGTATACTTTTAAGTGGACCAAAGAAGATGGCAGCTGAAGCCAAATATTTGACTTACAAGCTATTGCAGCTAAATCTGGGCTGACTGCTAGAAAGCAACTGTTTTTATTTTTAGGGTCAATATTTTGAATGTAAAAATATGAGCAATGTTGAAATCAGAGACATGACAATCAAACAACCATGTTGAGTTCAAGAATAGGTAAGAAGTTTTATTGCATCAGCCATACCATAAACTGTATGAAGTGGTCATTCTGTACAACTGCAAATTGTCTGTGTTGCAAGAAAAGATTTTTTGTGGGCTTGCTGGTACAAGTTAATTCCAAAATGTATAATTGAAGACAAAAATCTAGAGGACTGACGGCAGCTTAAGACAGTAATAAGGTTTTACTGTTTGATATGCTTGAACAGATAACTCAGTTTATAGCTTTCAGAGGTCTTTGACCCCCAATTGCCTAAGGCACTTCCTACAGGCTTCAGAGCTGTGATATGTTGTGTATTTCAGGGGAGATCATAGTATAACAAGAGCTATGTTTACAATATAGTTTACAAGCTGCAAAGTTTTACTTTCAGCATACTTTCTTGAAAGCCAGGAAGAGATTTTTAAGCATGGATGTGGCTTTCTTACAACAATCAGTTTCATATCCATTGTCCCAATATTAATCTGTTAGGTAAATATCACGGTATCTGATTTGTTGGCCATATTTAGCTTTCTTTGGATCAACACTGCTTTGATATAACATTAGTTCCTTTATGTATTCCAATTCATTCGACAATGCAGGAGAAGACTGAAAAAATGTTACTGCAAATTTCTTAATGTAAACAGAAAGTCTGGATGCATAAATTGCCTGTTAATTTGTCCTCAATAATCAGAGTATTTATTCAGTCCCATAGTTGTCAAAGTTCTATATAGTGTAAATATGTAAAGTGATAATATAAGTATCAGTATTCCCTTGTAAGGTTATGCAAGTGTTGAATGTGTTATGATGAAATTGGTTTATAAAAGAAGCAACTCAGAACAGTGTTATTTCCCTTTGTTTTAGAGACAATTATTTTCAGTGGTATCCAGAGAATTAAAATGAATGTCAGGATCATTGCTGAACATGCTATTCAACTTTCCAGTTGAGAAATATTTTAAGCCTAAGAAATGATAGGCTCAGACGAAAGCAGTAAAAATAAAGCCCTATATTTGCTTTATGCGCATGCTGTCATAATATTTGTCAGTTGTGTCCTCTGTTGATTAGAACGTTAACTTTTTATTGCACTAAAATGACTCCTAACATCTATACAACTTGCTTAGTAAAAGACCTTTTTAAACAAGTTTTAGTAAAACTATCCATTGCACTTTGTTAATATTACAGGACAAATAGATTTAAGTGCTTGGGGGGAAGAAGCATTTAGAAGCAAATAAATATTTAAGTGTACATACCTAATCTGCTGTGGTAATACTTATTAAAAAAAATACATGCTTGAGAATCTTAATGTAGCACAGTTAAAGAAACTGATAGTTCAGCATCTGCATTTACCAGCAATTTTTTCATGCTGTTAAAAGCATCAAAAAGATAAGTTGCTAGCCAGTTATTTGATTGAAACCTTAGTAATGTGATAATGTAAAACAGGGGTGTCAAACTGGCAGCCTGTGGGCTGGATGCATCAAAGGCAAAAACCATCACGATACGTCAGGATATGTCAATGTGACGTGATCGAGTTTGACACCCGTGACGTAAAAGATTTGGGTTCAGGGTTGGTTTGAGAAACTGGTCCACGATGGTTGTGTCCTAAACATGTGTCCCTGGAACTAAATTCAGTACGGTTTACTTTTAAGTAAAAAGAATTGAGAGTTAAATACTCTGGGCTCAGTATGGCAGTCTTCCTTATTTTCACAGTCTTCCTTATTGTCTTCCAATTTTTTTTACAAAGTAAAAGTATTAAGACCTTAGTTCATAAGATTTCAGTTCATTCTTGGTTAGAGAGTTGATGTCTTGATATCTACATGGATATACAAACCACGGTTTTAAGCTGGCTTATAATAAAGATGACTACAAAGCATTCCCAAGGAATTTATTAAATTTGAGGGGTTTTTTTTAACACAGAAAAAAGTGAAACAATTTTGAAACAGTAGTCACTATAGCCTCTACTCATCCATAAATTTGAATGTATAGATGCTTATCTTTCAAAAGCAGCAAGTGGAGTAAACTAATTCATTTTAAGACTCTTAAAAGAGTTAATATTTGGCAAGTAAACTACTTTGCTCAGATGTCGCTATTTTACATCAAATTTTAAAAAGCAACAGTGCCATTCGTGTTTCGAAATTGTTACTTTAAACGAACACTTGCTCAGTTTTTAGTTTAGTTTGGCATGATTTTTATGTAAAACATTTATGTTAAAATGCTGCTTTATTAATTATAAACTTGATTATATATTTCTGTGTTCACTTGATGTTTGTTTATTTAAGGTGTTTAGAATTCATAATCACATTCACTCCTCATCTTCCTCCCCGGTACTCTATCTCAACTGTTGCTTCAGTTCCCAGACATCCTCTGAAAGCCGGGGGGGGGAGGGCTCAGAAGGATCAGGGAGAGGTCGCACAGGAATGTTCCAGTTCAAAGCCATTGTCACCTGCTCATTCCGGGCATTGATCGAGACCTTAATCATCATGTACTAGACCAGGGGTGTCAAACTCAGTTTCACTGAGGGCCGCATCAGCATTGCGGTTGCCCTTGGGGGGCCGGGTGGGTGTGGCCAGAGTGGGTGCAGCCTACTGGGTGGGCGTGGATGGAGTGGGTGTGGCCTACAGTGGGCGTGGCCAGTTCTACATCATTCGCATCAAGGGTGCCTGTGGGGGCGTGGGCAGGAGTGGGACAGATCTGAGGGTCTCTGGCAGAAGGGGGTGGGATCGGGGCAAGTGCCAAGGCATGGTCCACTGGGGCAAGTGCCAAGATGGCCACCACAAAATTGTACATTGGCTCCTGGCTGGCCTGGGCCAGGGCCAAGGCAGCGGGGGCCGTTCCCTCACTGTTTCCAGGATGGCTTTGCGGGCCACATGAAACCACTTCGTGGGCCGCATCCGGCCCCCGGGCCTTGTGTTTGACATGTCTGTACTAGACCCTCAGGATTAACCCCCAATTTCCTTTGGAACCAAGTAGGTTCCATTCAGCCCTCATGACTGACTGATTTAATAGGGACACCCAACCTAATATCTGTTATATATGCCAAGTCACGAACAAGAGAGGTTTAATTATTGGTCAACCTGGCATTCAATAGCAGTAGTTGGAAGCCAAGGTCTGATAACCAGACATAAGGAAATAGCCTTGGCATCAACTGGAGACACTGAAATCGTCTTCCCCAGGACCAGCTAGCCGTGCCATATCTCTTGTCCTAGATAGTGTTGTCTGCTTCTTCTCTTCCCAAAAGGCCAAGTCTCCCTGACCTGTACTATCCATCCCATTGATAAAGGCCTCCATCCAATCCTAAACTAACAATCTTTCTCCCTCTCTGGTTAGCCAGTTCCTGTGAATTGCTTCTGATGTAGCATGCAGTGATCTGCCAGTCAGCTGCATTCCCATCACACATCCTCACCACATTCCCAAATCCCCTCTCCCACTCTCATAAGGGGTTATGAGGGGCAAAATAGGTGCTCACCACTGGCTGCAGCAACCCAGAAATTACAGTTTCTCCTCCACATAACACCCAGAGGAAATCTAGGTGATCTCATCATTTGGCTCCAAATACTGATTGAAAATCCTTTCACTTGTCATTCCAAGTCATTCAGTGCTGCACAGAAGAGTCCTTGGGCACATGCTGCCAAAAGGTGGCACGAATGGATACATTTCTTTTGCAGTCAATACCATTTGTAAAAGACAAAATGGCTTCCGCTCAGAGTGACAGACTCCATGGCAGGTGCAGGGCAGAAGCCAACCTCCAGCTCTGCTACTGGGCCAGTTTTGCTCCTTGGCACTCGCCCATGGCAACCAGAAGCCATAAATCTCTGAATTCAAGCTTCTCTGTGTTGCCACCATTGCTGTCCACTAGCTGATTGACAGTATCCCCAACTCTAATCTGGAGCACCTCTAGATCATTTGATTGAGTGCCATAGTTACTGTTTTTTTCTGAGCTTGAAAAATGTTGTACCTAGGTCACCTTAAAGGGCCTAGCTATGGTCACCTCCAACAATAATTGCTAACTCTTTTGATGCAGATTGGATTTGCTCTTTTTATTTATTTGTATTCCTTTTTTAATTAAAAAGAGCAAAACAGAAACAATAGTGATGGTATCATTGGGAAAGCGAAGGAAAAATGCTTTGACAAAAAGAAAAAATACAACAAATACATGTTGTAATTTGTCTAGAGTGGATTATGCCACTATTGAATATTCACTATATAGATATATTACTTCGTTCTGTATTTCCTTCTCTGGTACACCATAGGGACATCTTAATTTAGTGAATGTCAAAGTCCAAAAGAATAGTCCGGAAATTTATTATTTGGGTTGCTTAAAAAGAGTGTTCTGAACTTTGCTTTTGTTTAATGATTAACAAGTTGAAAACTAGCAGAACTAAATGATTTAAAGACAAAACAGAGTGATCTACATCATGTCTGAAAGACCAATTTGCATTGCTGATTTTGAAAAGTTTGCTAAGAAATTTCTTCAAAAGTCTGTGTACGATTACTATAAGTCTGGGGCTGATGATCAGCAAACCTTAGCTGAAAATGTAGCTGCATTTTCAAGGTAATTAACAATTCATATTTGTATTTAATAGGTTGTAATTTAATTAAAGTAGAAATGAAAGTGCAGTACTTGAAGTACATTCATGATGGGAATAGGTTATACTAAAAGTAAATTGGTCATCTATAATTTGAGCATTCATCTGCTTCTTTCAACTCTGGATATCAAGGGATATCATGAAACAGAATTCAATTTTCATATGAAATATTACAGTTTTGCAAGTCATTACCCTGGAATTGGAAGAGTCTTTGATCTCGGAGCAAAAAAATTATGTTGTGCTCAGAAAGCAGCCCTGTGACTAACACATTGCCGTTATATCTAACAAAATAATGTGTGTTCAAATGCTTGTCTAGCAAAAAATACTTTGTAATATGAAAGTCAGATAATCATAAGTCTCTGATAACTACCCAATCCTTATATCAAATGTTCAATTACTAATTTAGGGAAAAATATTTTAGATTTGTTGTTGTATTAGAGCAGGGCTTCCCAACCTGGGGTGCTCACACCCCCTGGGGTGACGAGACAATATTCCAGGGGGTGCGAAAACTTAGGTTTTCAAAATTATAGTTTATATGCATCTTAAATGGACTCCAGAAGGTGATAAAGGACAGGAAGACCTGGAGGAACGTTGTCCATGGGGTCGCGATGGGTTGGACACGACTTCGTAATTAACAACAACAAAAATGCATAATTCGTTGCCATTATTTCGAATTTTTGTAAGGGGTGCAAGAATATATCAGCAGTGTTTTAGGGGTGCGAGGTATAGAAAAGGTTGGGAGTCGCTGTATTAGAGGATTGGAAAGTGACATTTTTTCAGTTGGTGGGGGACTGAGAAATTATACAATATTTTTATTTGTGTTCTTGATAAAAGAGGTAAGTATAATGGAAAATTATTGGTAAAACAAGAATGACCAAGGAGAATTTGAATGTGGATTAAGTTGTTCAATATGTGCATGATCCTGGGTTAGTGGGAAATGTTTTATTTATTGTGATGCCTAATTTAGCCAAATGTCACATTTTTTTCATTTCCAAACTGTTGTTACTCAGCTATCATGTTTAGATAAAGTCAAGAGTCACAAAAAGCATCAAAGCTCTCATACCCTTTCAGCTACAAATTGCCCAGCCAGATGCAGAAGGATGGACTTGCAATAGTGGCAAATATCTGTATCTCAGGTGTAGGATGACGGTGAAGATTTGTTCTCCAAGCTTGTGGGTTTGTTTCGGCATGTTTCCGCATATTACCAGGGTAGGTAACATCTTCAGCGGAGTTTAAGAGATGTTGGTCTCAGTGTTCTGTTTATAAGGACTTTGTGTGGGCAGTAGTTTTTGTGATGAGTCAGCTGTGGGTGTGTCAAGCAGTACCAGTTCGATTGGAGCATCACAAAAATTGGCCATGCTACCACCTGCTACACTTGTGAGTTCATCGAAGCCTCGCACTCCACAAACAATTCCATCAACAGACACATTGACCTACAACCAGCCTACGAACCCTTCAGAATCCAAATCAACCTCACAATCAAGCAGAGACAGCACTGACCCTCAACCAACCCACGCAATCCCCCCAACCAGCACCTCCCAATGACCCTCATCTGATGTAACCTCCCCATCACAAGACTCGCTGATGATGCATACCTGACCCATCATAAGACCCATTAGAAGACCCTCACTTGGCACACACACACCTGACCTGTCACAAGACCTACTGCCCACACTGCCCACCCATCACAAGATCTACTGTCCTTATAAACAGAAGAACGCTGACACAGACATCCCCTAAACGCCACTGAAAATGTTACCTAGCCTGGTAACGAAATGTTCGGAAACCAACTCACAAGCTCGTAGAATGAACCTTCACCCTCAAGGATGGACTTGATAAAGAATCAATCATTTTTGCAAGCTAAATCCCACCTTTATATAGTTTCTGGAGTTTTTAGAATGTCAACATGCATGTAGAAAAAAGATACACAATGCTACCTCAGTACTCATCGTTAATTGATTCCGGGAGGTGCGATGAGTGCCAAAATGAGTACCAAACAATTTTCCCCCCCTTAAGGAATAATGTAGTGAGTCACAAGGCAGCTGACATCGTCACATTCTAGGTTGTGTGTCGAGTACCAGGACAACATTTTTGCATCAAGATGCATTGAGTACCAAGTTCAATGAGTTTCAAAGCAGCTGAGTACCAAGGTATATCATCGGAGGGTTGTTAAGAATTTTGCTTCTAATTAGCTGTAATCTGAAGGCAAATGTTGCAATGCTGGATCTGCAGATGTAGAGGTGGTCACAAAGATGGCAAGAGTATACATTTTTGCTCTGGGTTAGATCCAAAATAAATTTGTTGAAACTCTCCTCCGTAATCTTGACTCTTTTCAGGTCATGTATAGATGGCAGTGCCTTCTGAAATACCTCTTCCAAAGAGGTCTCTTCTGACTGGTGGTAACAATTCCTGTCCACAATTGTTAGTGCTCCATCAGAAAATTCAGTTCCTATTTCATTTCGGTATTCAGAAAATTACTGGTAGCTAAATAGTTCTGTACAAATTCTTAGATAAAGACACAGAATTCCAGCTTATTATTTACTTTCATTCTCATTTCAGTGATTAGGTTGAAATTGGGAGAGTTATAGTGCTCATATCAGTTTAACTGATGATACCATCTTCAAGCAGTGCCCAAAATATATATCAGAGCTGTACTGGGATGGCATTTCTTGGCCATTTAGTTGAAAGTTCTAAGAAGGAATAAGTGGGCCAAAATAATAGTACCTGAACTATATCCACCTTGCATTTCCTAAAATAGTATGAATATGATGCTAAGCGAGCTATAACAAATAAAATAGGTTATTGGCATAATTAATGCATGTTGCTTCTGTGTCCATTTATATGTATTTATAATTATACTTAATAGAAATAAAAATGCTGAGCATAGATTATATATGTAATTAAACAGTTTCATAACATTAATTTTGTCTTGAATAAAATAAGCTCTGTATTCTTTATTCTCTGTATTGAAATTGTGCATGTCAATCATTAGTTTTGCTTCTTGAAAAGTCTTTAAAAGATCAAAGACAAAACTTGCAATTCATCTGTAACTGGGCAAAAATAATTTGATTTTCAACAACTTTTTCAGTTTAATCTTTTTTATGATAACTTTATTACACGTTAAGCATGAAAGATAAAACTAACGAATACTAATAAGATGAGAAAAAGAGAAAAAGTAAAGAATGAAGCCAAAAGTATAGAAAAGAAGGAAAGAAATATAAAGAAATGAGTTCTGATTTTCTTTTCCAGCAGTTATAAATTTAAATTGATCTCTTACTCCATGGTTACAATTTTTTCCCATCATTTTTTCTGATCATCAAACCCATATATCATAATTTCATTTTTTTCCAGTTTCATGTCAAAAGTCCAAAAGGATTTCTGATCAGAATTAATCAGTTATCTTTTTTCTAATCAAGGCTTTCAATTTAGCCATCTCAACAAGCTCATCATTTTCATCTACTTTTCTATTGTGGGTAATGTCAGATCTTTTCGCTGTTGTGTATATAAACGTTTTGCTGCTGTTTTCATATATAACAATTTTTCCCCAAACTTTTTGTTAATCTCAAAAGAAACATCTCTGGCTTCAGCTGTATATTAATGTTTAAAATGTTCTGAGTTAATGTACATATTTGCATGCAATTTTTTAAAGTTTTTTTTACATATCCACTAAGCAAAAAAATCCTCCCTTGTTCAACATATATTTGAATTGCCTTTATCATTTTTTCAAAGTGGACTAACCCTTGATCAATAGTTTAAAAGTGGACTAACCCTTGATCAACCGACTTCCAGTTCCGTAGCGCGGCGCTTGCAGCTGTGTGAAGAGACTGCTCTCTTCGCCAGCTGATTCTCCACTGCCGGTAGACCCTTAATCGGGTCGAAAAGCCGCCCTGGAGGGGCAGCTACTGTTGAGGTCCTCGTCGTCCGTGGGAGAGCAGCAGCTTCTTCCACGGCCCGAGATTGCTCCTTTGGGCTGACGGTGGAAAGACCGGCCAGTAAAATGGCCGTTCACTTTGCTGCGGTAACCAGAAGTCAGAAGAACATCTAAGCGCAGGAACCACCGTGGCGGAGCTGGGTGAGACTTTTTCCCCCCTCTTCCTATCTTGGTTCTCCTTTTTCTTTTGTGCCTGTAAAAAGCACTTTTGAAATCATTTCCCTGCTCTAAGAAAGTGGCGTTTGTGAGTGTGGGAAAAGAAGCTTAAATGGACTGAATTAATTTCAAGTGACTTTTTTTCTATTTTTATTTTTTTTATTCACTTTGGGGTCCTGGAAAAAATTTCTTAATATTGAATTTACTACTGGACTTTGTCTACATCTTAAGAATTTTCCTTTTTTGTGTGTTTTCTGATCTTGTTAACGTTATTCCTGGTGTCTGGGAGGAGATTTTATATTTTACTGAGGACACCTTGTGGAAAAAGTCAAAATTGCAACTGCTTTTTCTGATGGTGAGACTGACTTTGACCTTCAGATTACCATAAAAGGGAAAACACAAAGAAACTTAACAGCTGTATTTGTGGGGGTGGATACTGATTAAATGTTCCTGGAACACAGCCTCTACTAAAAGATATAGACTGTTTCTAATTATTTTTGAAATGGAGAAACCCTATGTTCAACTTGACTATAAACTCATAGTGGAAAAACTTTATGAAGCTACTGACCAAACACGTTTGCAAATAAAAGAGTGCACTATAGCAATAAGAAACAGAAATTCTTCTTTGAATCTACAAATTGACCCCCAGACTCTATATGAGCATTCTACAGACCAAAAAACAACAGAAGCGGAACCAACTAAGATTAAAGAAGATTCCACTTTACTTCATACGCATCCTGATGAGATCTCCGAGGAACCAAAAAGGACTGTAATTAAACCACTTACAATTCCAAAACCAACAGAAATGGATAGACAAGCTCAACTAACCGAGAACTATGGTAGCTTGGATAAGCAACTATTAACTACAAAGTTGGACATAACTGAGTCTGTTATTCAACAGTTTCAAATGTGGAGACTTGACTCTTTAAAACAACAAGGGATTACTTACAACGGAGCTAGGTGTCTAAAACAGAAAAGGGGTCGCTTTTGTTTGACCCAAAGGATACTACATGGCACAAAAAGTGATTTGTGCATTGATCTAGAGGCGTTGCTATGGAAACCTGTCTGGCATAAAAAGAAAGCTAGAATAAGATTTAAGAGTGTGACTCAAGGCTCTATATAACGGGTTTAAAAGGCTTATTAGATATGGATTGATTTATGGTTTAAGACAAGATGTTAGATTGAACAAAAATTAACTAAAGATTTGAATTTAATAAGATGTTTGTCTTTGGGAGGGGGTTAAAGGAGTTTGACACAGATATTGAGGGATTGATAGATTATAAAGTATAATAGAGTAGAAAGGTATTTTTCTTTTTTCTTTTTGTTTTTTGTTTTCTTTCTCTTCTTTTTTGAACTAATATTTTTGTTATTAGAAATGATAGTTATTTTGTAATGGAAGAAGAATAAGAAAAAAGAAGAAATGATATTAATAAATGATTATTGATTATGTTAAGGAAAAAGGGAATGGAGAGACACCTGAAGTGTTAATTATGTATTTATATTAGCAATATGGAATATAGCAATTGAAATAGTAAAGCTTAATACAGAATTTGAACTTATTTAGATGAAATGTTATTGATGATTGTTTTGATTGACTTAGTTGTATTGAAATATATTAACTTGAATATAATATATTATTAGAGGGAATAGAGAGGGGGTTTCTAATGATTTAATCTGAACTATATGAGTATGACTTTGTTTTTGTGCAATTGACTACCCTGCCACCACTTTGATTCTTAAGCACTTGTTTGTAAAATGAAAAAACTAATAAAACTTGTTTAAAAAAAAATAGTCTAGTCAACCAATATTAGTTAAAGCAAAACTTTAGGGAAAGATGCTCTCATTCTTTAAATTCAAGAACTGTACACTAGACTGGTCAATCAAATCCTAGACAATAGCAAGGGCAAACCACTTTTGTATTGTCCCTGAAGAAGTGAAATGCACAATGGATTGACCCTCCTACATTGGATTCTAACCAATGAAGGGAAGCTGGCTGAGTAATGGGAATTTTAGGACGAAGTAACCCCATTATCTTGAAGTTCAGGATTCTACAGAAAAATAAATTAGGATACTTCGGCATGTACATTAGATTTCAAAACAGCTAACTTGAACTAGAGAAATGTTAGGCAGGGTCTCAGAAGAAATCCTCAGGTCAAAAAGAGCTCAGGGGGATTGGGGATTTCTGAAAAATAAAACCCTAGAAATACAATCACAATCTGTACCAGTGAGAAAGAAAGAACTCTCTATACCCTAGGAGCTTTTGATTAACCTAAGAGTTAAAAGAAAGATATATAGGAAATGGAAGGTGGGTGTAATAACTAAGGATATTGGTTCCACAAGAGAAGACAAGAAAGAACAGGCAGAAAGTAAGCAGATTTCACTTGGACACGAGGAAAAAAAGTTTTAACACTAAGAGTATTCCACAAAGGAGCAAAATTACTTTGGAAAGTGTGGTCTCACTTTGTGGGCAATATTGGACAGCCATTTTAAGAAGAGATTGGATTGGTACAAAGTCTCCTGCTTGAGAGGGGGGTCAAACTAGAAGATCTCCATGGTCCCTTCCAACTGTGTCCTATTCTATTCTATTCTATTCTATTCTATTCTATTCTATTCTATTAATACAACTTAAATTTAGTCACTGAGACACAGAATTTCGTAATGTTTCCATATACCAAGACCTTACTGTGATGGGCAGATTTGGGCACATCAACAGGTTATGATCTTGAATTTTGGAATGGTGGCTCATTCTGTTGTTAACAGTATATTTTATATTTTTCCATTCAAGTTCAAGAAAAAAAATTATGGAAGATGCAGCTGGGAGCATATTACAGAGATAAAACTGACATATTTATCTTTCAGTTCAGACAGAAAGATTAAAAGCAGGGTATTACTGGATTATTATTTCTGTGCTTTTTACAACCAAGCAATGTCTACAGTAATTCTAAAAAATGTTAATAGGGAGGGAGGAAGAATTAGAATAAAATAAATGAACCCTTTAATAATGCAGAGAAAAGCTTGTATAGGTTTTGAAAATCAAGTGTCTTAGCCAAACTGCAATAAGCCTCTTCTTACAACTGCATATTATCTTTAACAACAACAACAACAAAAAACACACATGGGAGTTTGCTCAATGCAAGTATTTTTTAAAAGTTTAATAATATAGTGTTTTGAAGTCTCCTAAACAATTTGAGATTATCAGGGTCTTTTAAAGTCCAAAATAGTTTGGGGGGAACTAAAAGAAGATGTCATCTTCAATTTTTGATAGATTCCAGGTTTCTTTCAGCCAGCTCACTATTTGAAAATTGATTTTTTTTAATGAGGTCATGGTGCTGATGGCATTTTGACATACAAGAAAATCAATTTAAAACATCTTATTTCAGCATGTTAAATTGAGAGTGAGCGAAAATGATCAGATAATGAGTTCTGATAGATTGTATCTTTGACTTTCTAAAGGTCTTTAGAAAATAGGATGCTCTTCACTGACAAAAAGGAGGCCCTCAAAACAGCTTGTTTAACAACATTAATCATAGTAAGCAATATTGTTGCTTCCTGGAGCTGAGTGCTACCGAGATTTGTTAAAATGTGGGAGATGGTAGTGGTGATGATGGGTGCCGAAAGCATATGATAAAGAATTATTAGGTTAAGCAGATGTTTTTTCTGTTAATTAGAATGATTGGGAAATAATGATATTAGTGATGGGTTGATGCTAAAGGTAAATTAATTAAATTCTGGGGCTTTGATGTATTGTGCTTCCAATATTTCTGTGTATATGTGGGTTCAAGTCAGTGTTGACTCCTGGTAATCTCTTGAATAAGTCCCTGCAGTTTCCTTGGCAAAATTTTAGAAGATCTTTAGATCTTTCTTCTAGGACTGAGACTGGCCTAAGACCACTCTGCAGACTTCAAGCCTAAGGCAGACTTAGGCTTCCCAGTTTACAGTTTGGTGTTAACCACTATACCTTTAAAGTTTGGGTGCGGAGAGAAGCCAGCATTAGGGGGTCAGAATATAATGCTTTTAAAGCAAACCAAAATAATTTTATAGATGCTTTGGTGGTATCAGGATTAGACCAGCTGTTTTGAATACCTAACATTTTTCAATATGATTGTCTTTATCCTGGGAGTTACCAAAGATATCTTGGATCTGAAAAGGTTTTCTGCATAACCTAAGTCAGTTCCTGGAATTCATATGGCTGTCCAGATAGCACCTCTTGGTCACATTCCATTTTCATATCTTTCATGGGGATGAAAAAAGGGATAGACAACATTTTGGACTGTAATTGGTACATGGGCTGTATACTGGAGAGACATGTTTCCTCCTCCTTTTTTTCTTCTTTGTATTTTTATATTATTTATAAAAAAATTATATTATAAATTGTATTAAGGATTTTGATTACAATAGTAAAAAAACTAATGCAACCTAAACTTAAAGAAAAGGAGACAAAAGATTATAGTAAAGAAAAGAAATATGTAAAAAAGTGATTTCAACCTTCATTACAACAAATGTAGTAACTCTTCACTCCCTGTAAGTTTACAAATAGATATCTCTTCATCGCATTCTGTCCTTTAAAGCAGTGGTTCTCAACCTTTTTAATGCCGCGACCCCAACCGGTGGTAAGTCGAGGACTAAACCGGTCGTAAGTCGAGGACTAAACCGGTCGTAAGTCAAGGACTAAACTGGTCATAAGTCGAGGACTACCCAACCGGTCGTAAGTCGAGGACTTTCCCTGCCCGGGAGCGCTGCGCATGCGTGGTTCCGCCCCCTGCGCCAGCTGAGGCGTAGCTGTCAAGCGGCAGAGACGGAGCAGGCCGACCACCAGCTGGCCCAGCCCAAGGGAGGTAAGGCACCCGCCGGAAAAGGGGAAAAAATGGCGGACAAAAAAAATGGCGAACAGCCTTGCTTGGCGACCCCCATGAAATGGTCGATCGACCCCAAATGGGGTCCCGACCCACAGGTTGAGAACCACTGCTTTAAAGGGATCTGCTATGTTTATGAGCAAGATGGTTAATCCTTTAGTCTCCTAATGCTCAAACCCATGGAGGACCACTGTCCTGTGGTCTCCTCACAAGGAGCAGCCATTCAGAGGACATGTGGGCAATCTCCCCTCCTCTCCTTGTCCAGGGAGTTTCCAAAGAACCAGTTTACTCATCAGTTATTTGGTTTTTGTTGTGATTTCTGGTCTCACAGAGACTTCTTCTGTTCACCATGCTCCCCCTGAAAATCCCTGGAAAACCACGCTTCAAAAAGAAGAAAAACTAGACTTGATTTCATTTAAATCAAAGAATATGCGATTACTTTCCAGTAATGTATTATGTAACCGGTGACATAAAAACTACAATTTGATAACTACTCTTTCACAAACTGTACATCCTGGCACTAGAACTTGGTTATTGAAATTCTAGCTCAAACTCTTTGACACTTGGCAACTTATCATGCTGCTTTTTATTTATTTGCTCTCCATTTCCGGCCATGTGTAACTAACAAAAGCTGATGTCAGTGGCTTGGTCATTTCCAGATTTCAGCATTTGATGAGTCATTTTAAAAACCAAACTTGCTTTCGGTTAATATTGGAGACAGCAATTTATTGTGTCTGCATCACAAATCTTGTATTCTAAATAAACCCTTGCTGTAAATTATTTACTATCAGACCTTTTCCATCCATGCAGATTAAGACTATACCCCCGGATGTTGAAAAATGTGTCAACCTTGGACCTGTCAACTTGTGTCTTGGGAGAGAAAATCAGTATGCCAATATGCATTGCAGCCACTGCCATGCAGTGCATGGCTCATGCAGATGGGGAAATTGCAACTGCTAGAGGTATGTTCTAGGTTTGGAAATTCCTTGTAAAAAAATTCAGCAGGGAAGACAGTCTGTTAAGTGAAGAATTCAGAAATGTCTTCGTACAAATTAAAGACATCTTATTTTGTCCAATCTGTTTTGCCTATTTTGCCTAATAATCTTAGTTTGCTTAGGGAAATTAATACTGTATCCTGTGTTTTATTTCCAAGCAAAGCGTTATGCAACATGGCAAATAAAGTTATAGGGATGTAATATTTAGAAACTAATCAGGAAATGTCTACGGAGATTCTCAATCGTCCAAATTATGGTTGTCCCAAAGGTGCTTTTTTCACGAGGCTTTCTTGTTTATAATAATAATAATAATAATAATAATAATAATAATAATAATAATAATAATAATAATAATAATAATGATGATGATGATGATGATGATGATGATGATGATGATGATGATGATGATGATGTTGGAAGGGACCTTGGAGGTCATCTAGTCCAACCCCCTGCTACGCAGGAAACCCTATACCATTTCGGACAAATGGTTGTCCAGTCTCTTCTTGAAAACTTCCAGTGTTGGAGCATTCGCTGCTTCTGGAGGCAGGTTGTTCCACTGGTTAATTGTTCTAACTGTCAGGAAGTTTCTCCTTAGTTCTAGGTTGCTTCTCTCCTTGATTAGTTTCCATCCGTTGCTTCTTGTCCTGCCTTCAGGCACCTTGGAGAATAGCTTGACTCCCTCTTCTTTGTAGCAGCCCTTGAGATATTGGAACACTGCTATCATGTCCCCCCTCGTTCTTCTCTTCATTAAACTAGACATACCCAATTCCAGCAGCCGTTTCTTATATGCTTTATCCTCCAGTCCCCTAATCATCTTTGTTGCTTTTCTTTGAAGACATTTCACTTCTCATCCAAGAAGCTCTTAATAGCCCTCTCTCAACATTTGCAGCCCTCTCTCAACAGAGTGGGAGGGATATGACATCATTTATCTCCAGTCTCCAACACAGTCCTTTCAACAGTTCCAAGAAGGCTCCACACCCATTTGCATTACTCAGGTGACCCTGAAGACACAGATACGCCTCCAGGGGCTTCAACGACTTGCTAAAAGAATGCAAATGACCAGCTGTCTGCAGGGAGTATAAATCATTCTATTCCCCACCATCCAGTCAGAGCTGAAGAAGCTTCTTGGATGAGAAGCGAAACGTCTTCAAAGAAAAACAAGGGAGTCCAATTGCCTTGTGAAAAAAAGCATCTTTGGGATAATCAGGAAATGCTTTTACAATCTAGGACTGACATCCTTTTTTAGGTTTAGAACCAGTATTAATCTGCTAAGCTAGAGCTGAGGCAAAAGTAAGGTTCAGTTGGCACACCATAATAGGGCTACTTTTCTGAAAATAAGACACCACATGTAATCCATGTAGACTGAGTAAGCAGGTCCTGAAAACACCAGCTGAAAATTGTTATCCGCAATAGCATTCACTTTGGGATAAATGTGCAAAGTGTCAAGAAAATAAAAAGTGTTCCATATTTGATTCTCCTGGGACATTTTACTAAATATACACCATCATTACACTAGAGTGGGAACTTAACTACTTTATTCCATGGCTCT